TTGCTATCTATGCCCAGGGACCTGACGAGGTCTACTCAATCAATAGTTGAGAGAAGCTGAGAAAGGAAACAATTGTTCTGCAGGAGACCTTTTTCCTTTAAGCTTGAGAACAGGTCTTTGATATTAGTGATCTGTGGGGTGGGGTGGGGGGGGGGGGGGTCATTAGAAAGTCTATCAGTGAATATGAACATATCTAAGCTATCTATCATACTGTCAGTCCTACAAGTGACGCATCCATAAACATGTCAGTAAAACAAGTGGAAGGATAACAGTATAGAACATGCAGCACTGACCACTTTCAGATGACTTCTACTAACAACATCACGACACAGGAAGCAAAGTGCTGCCACCTCGGTAGAGTCCAGCTCATCTTCTAGAGTTGAGGACAAGCTTTGTATCACAGGCCTGGATGGACTGATAGATACAAACACTAAGTACCATAGGCTATATGAATGTAGCAACAGTCTTTGAGATGACCCTATGTCATACATCTTGCAATATTATGTGAAGGAAATTGATTAAACAGCACACTATCTCTGTGACACAAATGTAACTTATTTGAGCTGCTCTGTATTTCCAGAAGTAGGACCTCACCTCCATTTGACTGGAGCCGTCTTGTGACAGAACATAGAGAGAAACAGAGTTACACATCCAACCAGAATATGATCTCAGACACAACTTTTCTGTGTGTGTTTAATTACCATGTAAAAACAGGATGTCATTTTTTAAGTCCTTCAGCTGAGGGAAAGTAGTTTGCATTTTTTCATCAGTTTGCAGGAGGTTCAGAAAAGCTCTGCAGGTATCGTCTCCTTTATTCATGATCTTATCCACAAGCTCAACAATGTGTCCCTCCACATCTTCCCTGTTGATACTTTTAAGGTTGTTGTAGTCCTCATCAGTGATCAGCTCCTTCTCATAAACTTTGTTGAGGATCAGCCTGTAGTCTCCGGACAGAATCGTTTGGATGGCTGTTTTATTTCTCCTCACAATGTCTTTGGCAGACATGCTGAGTCTGCATTACAGACAATTACACAGTTTAAATATCACAACTGCAACTAACAGCAGCACACAGGTTTTATTTTCTTAAGAAAGTCTTCATTTCAAATGTAATAATTATTGCATGTTACCTCTTTCGGTGTCCTCGAGAGTGTACACAGATGATTCAGTGGCCCTGCTTCACTGCATTATGTTCTGCAAATGAATATACAATTCCTCAAAGCAAATACTTTCATTCTTCTGTAAGCTACTGTACTTGCTGCAGTAATTAATAATGGCTGGAAACAAAGCAATAATTTAGCAAGAAATGTGAATGTGCCTGAATGATAATTTCATGTGTGCCCTGTAGCCTAAAATGTGTATTACAACAACCTGTTGGGAACAACTTGTTCAGTACATAAACATTGATGCCATAATACTGCAAAATCAGACATGGTTGTAATTTCTATTCAAATGTAGTTGTATGAAATGTATGATAATCTGTTAACCAAATAATTCAGATCTTCTGTCTAAAATGTTAAGTGACAGACAAAATAATAATACTAATTACAAAAAACACATTTTGTCTATATAACTGTTTTGTGCACCTTTAGCACCTGTCAAAGAGGAAAAAGGCTGGAACTGTAGTGTATAACTACTCTGTCCTACAATCAAGTTTATGAGGATTCTTTTGTTTGTTTTTGTTGTTTTTTTCTTTTTCAAAGATAATATTTGAGAGAATAACTAATAACCTCTCAGAAGTCACCCTGGTTTTCTCCGTCCTACCCAAATGTAAAAGGGGATATATTTCCTCAGGCTGCATGTCCCCATCTGCCACATTTGTCCCCATCCTATAAAGCACCACCACGAAGTAGATCATTAGCAGGCACCTGCATGAGTCAAGCTGTAACTATCACCAGTTAATACAGGCTTGTTTCCTAAATGACCTTAACAGGCTGGAACGAAAGGCACTTATTCAAGTGGATGAGCAGAAGGTGACTCTGTGTGACAGCAGAAAAGTGTGATCAGAGGATTTCATTGAAGATATTTGTTTATTTTTGTTTTTGAACAAAACATTGTTTTGCCATTTTGGCTGGTAATTGCAAATGTAACTCAGTCCTCACAGACAGAAAGTTAAAATGTCGAACACTACAGTAGGAATAAACATGTTTACAGCCTTGGTATTTATAACCAGTTTCATTTCCCATAACTAGTCCAGTTGTAAATGGGTTAGAGCAGGGGTCTCAAACTTAAATGAGCTGGCCACACAACTTGTTTTAACATTGCACTCAACAACAAACAAATCCTCTCTAACACAAAAAAGTAACTTCAAGGGCCAAACTCCATCATATTTTTTTCACGTCAATATACGGGTGGTTAGTTTGAGACCCCTGGGTTAGAGGAAAACATCATCAACTAAATAACTCAAGTCACTTTTGGCACAACACATATAAATGAAATTACACGTAATCACAGGGTACTTGGGATCTAACAGTGTAATTATTTTTTACACTGAATCGATATCGTGTTACTCAATCTAGAATCGATTTTATTTGGAAAATCAATAATCAAAACCTACCCCCACTTAGTCCCTCCATAACACGTACCCTAGAAAGTACTTGTTTCATTTGAAAACTGTTCTCTCCTTCTTCTCAGCTGGGCCTTTAGCTAGCAACACTGAAAAGAAACTGCACACAAACAGTTCGTGTGTTTGCTGTTTGTTGAGCTGATAGAAATGTTGCATTTGAAATTACCTGACACTCCAAAAAAACCTCACTCCCTTTATGCTCGCTGGTCGTCGGTAGGGCTAGCTAGATGCTGAAGTATCGCAAACATAACTTATGGACACCCGAAGTCGTTCCAGCCACAAGTAATTGTTGCCTCCTGTAATGCTATATATCAAACTGCACCAGTAGAGGGTGGTGTCGTTAAAAAGTAGAAGTATAATCCTGTCCATAACGTTTATGACATTAAAAGTCACTTGTTCCTTGCTGATGATAAATAAATAAAAAGGCCCACTTAAACCCCTAACTATGGCACATGTGTTTGCCTCTTTCATCTCTTTTTATACCACATTTGGTGATTAATGCACGAGCAGGACTGCCTTTCATGTGTTTCTCGCAATGACGAAGTAATGACTCCATTCAAACACGTCAAACCGAAAGTAACGAGCCTGTTTTGAAAATGAAAAAAACCTACTCAAGTGAAGTAGATGTAAATTTAAAACTCTACTTAGCACAGTAACAAAATATTTATCTTTACTGCCCACCTCTGCTGTTGTCCATGTTCAGGTTAATGCATGCACTGTTGATACTTCCGCTGAAGTGTAATCACAAGTGAAACTCGCATTTCTTCTAGAGCCAAACCACACCTACATATATACATTGCAACACGTTCTCACTCCTAACTCGTCAAATATGGGACGCAGGGTCAGAGTCTGCTTCGCTTATCAACAACTATGGAAAGTCAGCGAGCAGGGCTGGACTGGGACAAAAAATCGGCCCGGGCATTTTGACTAGAGACCGGTCCACCAGGATAAAGATTGAAAATGTGACATCATTCAGGGGTAAAACCGCAAAGGATTCTGGGAACTTGTGGCAAGAGGTACTAGCGCACGCAGGCGTTCAATTAAACTCAGTTACACAGTGATAAAAAGAAACCCAAAAAATGCCAAGAAGCTGTTGTATTATTAACTGCAATAGCCGGTCGCATGACAGCCACGGGAAGCCGACGGGTAAAGAGATCTTTTTTTTTTTTATCGGATTACGTCGTTGAAGAGAAAATTTTTAAGCCATGTTTCCGAAGTAAGAGCCGACGGATGGTCTGGATATACCAAATATAACGTCTCAGAACACTTCAGCTCACATGTTGGTCTCCTCCAAGCATTCCCACAAAGGTCAGAGTTTTGTAGTATTAATACGTCGTTTTTCTTAACATAATTGGTGATATAGGTTACAAGCAAGTCTGGCACTGAACAGAAATTGTCGCGCTATGCTCCTTTGTTTATTGTGCATAAATAGTAAATTGTCCTGACACAATATTGCGCTTCGCTTCTGTTATTACCATGGTACATTGACAAAAACATATACTTTTATTCACAGGATAAAACAGTTGTTTTGTATCACTAATTGTCCAGTGCGATTACAACATACATTATTATTGTCATTGCTACATTTCTGTAATGCTACCAGAAATGATTTCCACTACTAATTAATTACCATTGAGCTCAAAGGTTATATTAATAAACGGTTAACGAATGTGTATTTATGACGACGATTTGTGAGACTGGTAAACTTACCTTTGTTCATACGATGGTCTTTCGTTCTACACGGTGCATTTCAAGGTCCTGCACCCATCCGTCGGTAAACTGTACCTGGGCTTGTTGCAGTGACCTGAAGTTACTAAACTTCATGAGTGTATGCACTCACTCCAAGAACCGTATAATTATAAATCTGAGCGTGGTGTTTTGCCACGAGTTCCCGGCATGCAATGCGCGAAAATCACGTGATTGCTAAACAAGGGGGAGGGTGCATCCAGCCTCCTCGGCTGTAATTGGTCCAGCCCAGAGTCGATCATGACCACGACCGTGGCTCAGGGGGTTGGGAAGCGTATCTGTAACCGGAAGGTCGCCGGATCGATCCCCGGGCTCTCTGTCCTAATCGTTGTGTCCATGGGCAAGACACTTTACGCTACTGCCTACTGGTGTTGGCCAGAGGGGCCGATGGCGCGATATGGCAGCCTCGCTTCTGTCAGTCTGTCCCAGGGCAGCTGTGGCTACAACCGTAGCTGCCTCCACCAGTGTGTGAATGTGAGAGTGAATGAATAGTGGCATTGTAAAGCGCTTTGGGTGCCTTGAAAAGCGCTATATAAATCCAATCCATTATTATTATTAATTGGCCGATCCAACACCTTTCATTATATATACCCTTCCTAAAAAAAAAAAAAAATCCATCGGCCCATAAAAACAAAAAATCGCCAGCGGCCCACCGTATGCCCGATGGCCAGTCCAGCTATGCATGGATAATGTGACTAGAGGGACTGGGCTTCCTGGTCTGCGTCTGCAGGATGATTGGAGGCAAAAGGGGTGAAGTACTCTCTGGCAAACAGAAAGACGTCGTCTGGTTTCCTCAACAACAGCAACTGCAGGAAGTCAGATATTAGTGCTCGAATCTCTGGATGCTGTCTCAAGTATGAGGAGTGGTCGGCCTTAAGCTCTTCCTGCCAAAACAAGACATAAACACACATTCATTTTCTGCTCAGATGGTCAGTAGAGTAATGGAAGTCTAGTATTAATCTCCTGTTGCACATGACCGGCTGATGTCATCCAGGGAAGGACGGATGTTGTTTTGCTGTGCTGTATTTTAATGTGAAGTGTACATATTTATTTTTTATATTGCATGCATTGGTTATATTTTTGTGCAGTGTTTTATTTAGTTTGCATGTTTTAGTTGCCGGCAAATTGTCCTGGAGAGACTCCGCCTTTCCCCATTTTTACTAATTGGACACACCTGAGAGGAAAGGGAGTGTAATTTACAGAGTGCTGAGTGACACATAAGAGGGTTGGAGCTGGGCGTTAAGGAGAACGGACAGTACCAGCGCACAGGGCACCAGCGCAGAGAGTGACAGTACCAGCGGGGAGAGCGGAGACAGCACCAGTGGAAGGCACGGGACGGCTGTGTGGCTTTGCAGTTTTTAAGAAGCGGCGGGCGGAGTTGAGAGCTCTGCCCACCCGGGGTAAGTCTTTGACTTATCCCCTTTTATTGAATAAAAACTGCCGGAAGAATAGTGACTGCCGCTCCTCCCTTTCTCTAGCATATCAAGACGCGAATGCGGAAAGGAAGGAGAGGACTCCGCTGGGTTTCCCTTTTACTTCACTGGATTTCTTAACTCCCTGGGACTTTTATGCTGTGGTGGATTCCACTGGACTTTTAATGTTGTGTTTTATTGATTTTTATTGTGTTATCCCTTGGCCAAGGTTGTTTTAATTTATCTTACATTTTTAACTATTTAAATATAATAAATTATATTTTTAATCTTACAGTTTAAATTGTGTGTTTCCCTTGGCGGCTCCACTGCTCTGCCCGTTTTTAGGAAGGTCTCCTTCCTTTTAAGAACACAAAACATCTTGGAAATAAATCAGCCTTTCTGCTCCGTTACATAATTGGCGTTGTCGACAGGATACGGAGCCAAGAGCAGTTGGGTTAGCCAGGGGAATAGCAAATATGATGATGCCTGTGTATCCCGGAGCCCCGTGGCTGCCGAAGTTTAAAGGGCCTGATCAGGATGTGCAATATCAGGAGTGGAAGGAGCAGATGCGGGGGCTGCTGGGATCTCAGGACTTGCCTGAAGTGAGGAAAGTTGCTATTGTGTTGGGAGCGCTAGCAGGTGAGGCTAAACGTCAGGTCAGTGTTCTTGAAACCAGTGAAAGAGACCAAGTACAAAAAATCTTTTTAGACTCTTTATATGGTGATAGTGTCCCCACCCCAGTTCTTAGGTCACAGTTTTTTAGTTGCACTCAGAACTCAAGTGAAACCGTATCTTCATTTATCTTGCGGTTAAGAGAATTATACTGTAGGTTGCGAAAGCATGATCCAGATAATGTCCCCTCTGATGCAGCCCTGCGAGATCAATTGTTGCTAGGATTGCGGGAGGGCCCTGTAAGTCAGGCACTGAAGGTCTATGTGCGGCGTAATCCAGACCAAGATTTTGCTGCCATACGCCAGGAGGCACTGCTCCTAGACTCAGAACATGTACAGCCCCAGTCTGAGGTAACCTGCCTATCTGTAAATAAGTCTTATGCTCCTTTTAAGGTTGAACAGAAAGAAGATTGGAGGCAGGTGTTAAAACAGGAGATACTGGAGGATGTTAAGGCACAAATTAAAGGATTGGCACAAGAGCTAGTAAGGGAAATTAGAGGCTCCACTCAGCCAGCTGTAGCTACTCTTCCGCCTGCACCTCAGTTTAGGAGAAGACCGCGACAATCAAATGCTAGCTGGGATGCACAAGGTCGGCCTATCTGTCGGAGGTGTAAACAAGCAGGACATATAGCTAGGTTTTGCCAGACTTCCATGTCTTCCCAGCCAAGTTTAAACTAGATGACCCTGCTGCTGAGGTCCGAGGGGCGGGGTTTTTTGGTTCACCTAAGGAATTAAGGGCCACAGAAACATTTATTGGGCAGTGTCCAACAGTGAAGATAGTGATCGAAGGGGTGGAGCTTCAAGGCTTGTTGGATACCGGGTCACAAGTGACTTTGATACAGGAGAGTCTGTTTAATGAGTATTTTTCCCAGGCTAGGCTTGAGAAAACTCCAACCGCCTTTAGGCTGAGAGCCGCCAATGGTCTGGAAATTCCCTATACCACCTATGCTGTCCTGGACATGGAAATAGAAGGTGTTAAGGTTCCTGGACGCGGGGTTGTGGTGGTAAAAGATGACCATTGCACTCACCCACTGATTATTGGTATGAATGTTGTGACTGCCTGTTGGAATGTAATTAAGTGGCCGGAAAAGACTACTCCTGCCCCACAGCAGTTAACGAATCAGCAGGCCTGGAGGACTGCCTTCGCAACATGCAGACGGATAGAAGCAAGTACAGTGGAGGACGGAATGGTGGGGTATGTACGGCTAGCTGGCCGACGCAAAATTAAAGTCCCCCCGAGGAGTGAAATAATGGTGTGGGGCCGGACTCAGACGGGTCCGCAAGGAACAGACTATTGTGCCTTGGTGGAGGCACTGCCTGAAACCCCTGATGTGGGGGTGGCGAGAACCCTTGTCATGGTAAGGGCCGGGAGAGTGCCAGTGAGGATTTGTAACCCACACCCCTATCCTCTTTTTATAGGTCGCTACCAGAAACTTGGAAAGCTATCCTGCGTGGATGAAGCTGACATACATGGCTCACAGGACCTGAGCCTGTCCCTTGGGACGGACGGTGTGGTGGAGGTGGCCCTGGTCGATAGTGGCGCCCCCACGGAGGAGGAGAGATTACCTGGGGAGATGAATAAACTGATTGAAAGACCTGACCTGTCTGAACTGCAACAGGGCGAGCTACGTGCTTTATTGCTTAAATGGGAGAAGGTGTTCTCTAAAGATGACGAAGATTTCGGGAGGACTGACCTGGTGCATCATTGTATCCCCACAGGTGATGCAGCTCCCATTAGAGAGAGGTATCGTCCTTTGCCCCCCGCAATGTATAAGGAAATGAGGAGTCTCTTGGCAGATATGATGGCAAAGGGAGTTATCCGGGAAAGCTGTAGCCCATGGGCTGCACCCATTGTTTTGGTGAGAAAAAAGGATGGCGCCTGGAGGTTCTGTGTGGACTACAGAAAATTGAATGCGGTGACTCATAAAGATGCTTTCCCCTTGCCACGAATAGAAGAGACATTGACAAGCCTTACTCGAGCGAAGTGGTTTTCCACCCTGGACTTAGCCAGTGGATACTGGCAGGTCCAAATGGACCCGACGGACAGAGAAAAGACTGCTTTTACGACCCCAGTTGGGTTGTTTGAGTTCGAGCGGATGCCGTTTGGTCTGTGCAATGCACCCGCTACATTTCAACGCCTGATGCAGCACTGTTTGAGTGGACAGATTGCCGAGTCTTTATTGGTGTACTTAGACGACATTATCATTTATTCACCTGACTTTTCGTCTCATTTACAGCATCTAGATGAAGTGTTTCAGAGGCTGTGGCGTCATGGGCTGAAGTTACAGCCGAACAAGTGCGAGTTCCTGCAACAAGAGGTGAAATTTCTGGGGCATGTAGTGGATAAGTATGGTGTAAGACCAGACCCGGATAAGATTTCTGCGGTGATGGATTGGCCGGTCCCTGATACCATCAGACAGGTCAGATCCTTTTTGGGCCTGGCTGGTTACTACAGACGTTTTGTGTCCGGTTTTGCTCAAATCGCACGCCCTTTAAATGCATTATTGACAGGGGTCCCTGTGAACAAGAGAACAGACTGTCGTAAAGTACAGTGGTCCCCAGAATGTCAAACGGCATTTGAGGCCCTCAAAGCAGCTTTAACGCAGGCACCTGTTTTGGCATACGCAGATTACTCTCTTCCCTTTATTGTGTATACAGATGCCAGTGGCCGCGGGCTGGGAGCCGTTCTGGCGCAGGTTCAAGAGGGCCAAGAAAGGGTAATAGCGTACGCCAGCAGAAGTTTACACCACACGGAACGGAATGACGCAAACTATAGTTCTTTCAAGTTGGAGCTGTTAGCCCTTAAGTGGGCGGTTACCGAAAAGTTTAAAGACTATCTGACTGGTGCACGATTCGTTGTGTATACTGATAATAACCCTGTGGCCCATTTACAGACTGCTCGCTTGGGCGCAGTAGAACAACGTTGGGTTGCCCAGCTGGCCTCTTTCGACTACGAGATCAAGTATCGTTCGGGTAAGAGCAATATTAATGCTGATGCCCTTTCTCGATTCCCCACTGTCCCAGCAGAGCATCTGGAGGGGGCTGGATCAGAGCGTGGAGTCACTTCAGCAGCCATTGAATTGACCTGTGAGGTAGAGGGGAGTGACTGGGCAGAAGCACAAGTTCACGATCCGGATATTCAAGTGGTAAAACAACTTCTGGAAGCTCAGGTCGCACCTACAAAGTCGGAACGTCAGGCATTGTCGCATGGTGTGCGGCGACTCCTACAGCAGCAAAAAAGACTTTTTATTAAAGACAGAGTATTGTGCCGTAAAGTGTCGGACGAATATACCCAGGAGATTCGTCATCAAGTTGTGTGTCCTAGTTCCAGGTGCCATGAGGTGTGGCGGAAGATCCATGAGGCTGCTGCCCATGCGGGGGTAGATCGAACCCTCTCTCGGATACGGCAGCGGTTCTACTGGGTTAATATGGAAGCGCAGGTACATCAGTTTCATCTGGGTTGTGTCCCCTGTAGTCTACAAAAGGAGAGGGTAGAACCTAGGGCTCCACTGCACCCTATTTCAGTCTCATACCCTTTGGAGGTTGTAGGCATGGATTTTCTGTCCTTAGGCCGACCAACTGACACTTATCAAAACATACTTGTGGTGACTGATCTGTTTACGCGGTTCGCTTGGGCTATCCCTACAATAAACCAAACAGCAGAGACTACAGTAAAGGCTTTGTGGAAGTATGTGATACAGCCGTTTGGTTGCCCAGGCCGACTCCACTCCGACCGTGGGTCTAATTTCGAATCTGCATTAATGAAACAGCTTTGTGATACCTATGGTATAGCCAAAAGCCGTACGACACCTTACCACCCTGCAGGGAATGGTAGTGTAGAACGTTTCAATCAGACCCTATTGAACATGCTCCGCTCCCTAGAATCAGTTAGGCAGAGCCAGTGGGTAGGAAATCTGCCGGAACTCGTTCATGCTTATAATAATACTATCCATAGTTCCACAGGTTATGCGCCTGCCTATTTGATGTTTGGTCGACACTTGCGACTTCCTGTGGACGTGGTGTTAGGCGTGGCCCCCCAGCAGGCGAGGCAGGATGTAAGTGAGTGGGTGTATTCTCATCAACAGAAACTCTCCCTAGCTTATCGATTGGCTGGGCAGAAGATGTGTAGTGCAGCCTCCCAACACAAAAGCCAGTATGAGAAAAGAGGCTGTACCCTTCCATTGTTGCCTGGGGAGAGAGTCTGGGTACGTGACCGAAACAGACAGGGCAAAGGAAAGTTGTGTCCCTGGTGGTCTCCTGAGCCGTATGTGGTGTTGGAACAGGTGGGAGATACGGGCTTAGTGTATAAGGTCAAACCAGAAAAGGGGGTAATATACAAACTTTACATAGGAATGCCTTAAAAGTGTGCATTGCTCCTCAAACAGACTTTACCCCTCCTACGGAGGAGCCGACCACAGGCCCTTCGGATTTCCCAGCGCCAGTGTTGTATGGATTTTTACCCCTTACTGACTGTGTGTCACCTCACCAGAGTGATTCAGGTATGTCCCTTAGACGGTCCATTAGGGCCACGCGTGGGATTCCACCAGAGCGTTATAGGGAGATGGAGCATTAGCAGAGACTGCTAATATTTCAGTGTGGGGGGATGTCATCCAGGGAAGGACGGATGTTGTTTTGCTGTGCTGTATTTTAATATGAAGTGTATTTACTTAGTTTTTATATTGCATGTATTGGTCATGTTTTGTGCAGTGTTTTATTTAGTTTGCATGTTTTAGTTGCCGGCAAATTGTCCTGGAGAGACTCCGCCTTTCCCCATTTTTACTAATTGGACACACCTGAGAGGAAAGGGAGTGTAATTTACAGAGTGCTGAGTGACACATAAGAGGGTTGGAGCTTGGCGTTAAGGAGAACGGACAGTACCAGCGCACAGGGCACCAGCGCAGAGAGTGACAGTACCAGCGGGGAGAGCGGAGACAGCACCAGTGGAAGGCACGGGACGGCTGTGTGGCTTTGCAGTTTTTAAGAAGCGGCGGGCGGAGTTGAGAGCTCTGCCCACCCGGGGTAAGTCTTTGACTTATCCCCTTTTATTGAATAAAAACTGCCGGAAGAATAGTGACTGCCGCTCCTCCCTTTCTCTAGCATATCAAGACGCGAATGCGGAAAGGAAGGAGAGGACTCCGCTGGGTTTCCCTTTTACTTCACTGGATTTCTTAACTCCCTGGGACTTTTATGCTGTGGTGGATTCCACTGGACTTTTAATGTTGTGTTTTATTGATTTTTATTGTGTTATCCCTTGGCCAAGGTTGTTTTAATTTATCTTACATTTTTAACTATTTAAATATAATAAATTATATTTTTAATCTTACAGTTTAAATTGTGTGTTTCCCTTGGCGGCTCCACTGCTCTGCCCGTTTTTAGGAAGGTCTCCTTCCTTTTAAGAACACAAAACATCTTGGAAATAAATCAGCCTTTCTGCTCCGTTACACTACCTTTCTGTCCAGAAACTTAGAACGCATCTGCATGTCTTCCTCCCACACAAGGGGGATCTTCTTGAAATCTACTGTAAAATTACAAATACACAAATATCACTGAATCTTTCATTGGAATCATACCTCTTATGTGTGAATATGTGTGTGGGGGATGTGTGTAACCTTTTTCTGCCTTTGATGGCAACTCTAGAAGTCTCATGGTGACTGGTGACCCCACCTGAACTCTGGTCACCAGATGCCTGATCAGAGAATGTAACGAGTCAAATTGAAAGCACTAGTGTAACACATAACAGCAATAATAGCACTTACTTGTTATTCAGAAACCGCTTGAGTTAAACCAGAAAGTCCTCATGTATCACCAATATTCTTTCGCATACAAAAATCAGATGTGTCCTTTTCCGTAGGTATATCTACAGTTTATGGGAACCTTTCCCTTCAAAATGATCATTTTTAGAAACTGAATAGTTCCTAAGATGTCAAGGACACAAAGCAATTAACTATTCTACTATAGCTAATGTTATAGTTTGGACCCACAAAGAAGAAGCATCAATGGCTCCATTAGCAGTGGTTAATAGTTTTGGCTAACATGTGAAAGATCTCTAGTTTAAGACCAGGAGGTGACATAAATCACAAGCAGGGTTGTACCAGGAAGGATGCCAAATCAAACATGTGGGAAATAGTAGAAATTCTTCTTTTATTTACCCCTTTCCCTGTTTCATCCACACCTCTTTAACCTCACTTACTGTCGGAGTTTTCTTATCACTGGTGGGCTCCTTTGTTCCATACCTGAACTTACCTGGCACAGAGTATATAATGACTGCACTCCCTTCCACCTCACTCTGTTTGCTTCTGGACTGGGAGCAGCTAAGGTGAGTTAGCTTAATTTACTTATTTAGCTTTAAGTCAGTGACTTGAAATCTAACCTTGTTGGTCTTTTTAAGAGATTGCTAGTCCATGTGTGGCAATCTTTTGTGTAATTTAAACTACCTTTTTCTACAAGTTAAATAAACCCAACCACTGGGGAATCACTGATGGTTCATTCATACTGGTTGCCCATGCTGATAACAGTCCTCTCCTTTTAAACACCTAACTAATGGATCCCTTGTGATTAAGGGAAGCATTCAATAAGTAGTGCTATTGTGTGATTAAAATGATTTGTTGTTTAGTCTACATTAGTGACCTCCTATCAGCAGTAGGTAATATAAACATGAAACTCAACAGTGGGCAGCTGCAGTCTGTCTGGTGCACAGAGGGAGGCAGTAACACAGTCCAACATGTGTGGGATGATGGAGAGGTACATATATTAAGCTTACCCATCATCCAGGAAGTAGCACTGCCAGGTACTGGGGCTGCCCTCCATGGACTGAATAATCCTCTCTACCCCAAATACATCCAGGAGCTCACCCCCGACCTCTAGCTGCCTCTGATCCAGCTCTCTCTGAGCACAAAAGAGACCACAATCAGAGCTCAGTACTCAAACAAGTTACTGATGGACCAGGATGTCTTACACAGGCATAAAGACTTACAAAAGAGGTGTTAATTATGTGTAATCCTGGGTCTAAGGAGACAAACGTCATGTTTTCTGGCATCTTCCTCCTCAGAGCGATCAGGCGCATCAGCAGCAAGCTGGAGCCCTCAGTTACCAGCCCTCTCAGGACAGACATGGGATAGGACATGCTCTCTTCTGTCACCTCCTGTACACACACACACACACACTCGCTTAAGTCCCGTTTGGGGTCGCATATCTTAACTCCCACCCTTTGGGGACACCACTTTCTGTATGGTTTAGAAGCAAGCTGGCAACTCAGTTTTACTCCTCCAAGACCACACAAATAAAAAATCACTTGAGATTTTCATTTTAAGCAACATTTGTCCAGACAGTATTTTTACCTTCCCATTGGGGACTGGGAATGTTTAATGTCCCCTTTTGGGTCTTCAGCGATACACAGATAAACAAACTATTTTATGCCACTTTTGGGGACCTTACTTCCCTTTTGGGTCTTCAGCAATACACACATACACAAGTTATTTTATGTCAGTTTTGGGGATATTACTTCCCTTAAAGGCAGTTCCTTCAAAGTACAATGTAAGGTTAACTACCCAATCTAACAATAATCTAAACAATAATTAATTAGAATCAGAATCAGAATACTTTATTGATCCCTGGGGGAAATTTTTTTTTGTTACAGTGCTCCAATTAAGGTCTCTATTTATCTTGAAGAAATCAAAACTATGTCCAACGTCTCGGCCACAGAACAATTTAAATTTTTGACTGCATTTGTTACTGCTGTGTTGTTTTGGGAGTTTATATGCACATCATTAATGCAGAGAAACTTGGATAAAAAAAATCATCTGTAGTATTGAGTGTTTGTTACCAGCAAATTGTAAGGCAAGAACTTTGCTTCCAAATATGTTCACTGGGAAGAAGTCCCTGGTCCCCTGTCTTCATCTTGATCCGTTTTCTTATTCTATTGTGGTTTTGTTGCCTCCATACCTGACAGAAGAGACTCAATCTCATTGCTTGAGGAATCTGGATTTTGGAGATCAATTTTTTTTCACGTTTCAGGCATTTCTCATGATGCTGCTTCAGCTTGGTTAGTCTTGAGTAGATAAACATAAGTTAAATAGGCAAACATTAGACAGTTAAACTAGTTTTTATATTCTATTTAAACTAAAAGAAATTTCTAATTTCAACTATGAATTGTTTACACAGGTAATTTGTACACAATTACCAAGGGTTCATTTGATTTTCAGAAACTATCCAAACCTATCATAAAAGATTTAATTTAATTATTAATAAACACACTGCTTTAACCTACATTAGAACCAATCAAAATATCCTTTAGCTCATATCTGTGAGTGATAAGACAAGCTGTACGATTTTAAAATGGATATCTTAATTTTAGTTTTCACTGATGTTACGAGTAGATTTAACATGAATAACAAATAGACAAGAGACAATTAAAAACTGCCAAAGAAGATGACTCTTATGACTTCCGGGGACATTTCTAACAAAAATGCACTGCGTTAATCTGAATGAGGACAATCAAAAGGGATATACATAAATGAAATTGAATTGATATAGTACCAGAGTACAGTGATCATTAACTGATCGTCATTAACAATCAGTGACCATAAACGGTTTTGTCACTGATCTCAAGGGTAGATTAATACTAAATACAGAAATATACCCATCCATCCATCCATCTTCATCCGCTTTATCCGAGGCCAGGTCGCGGGGGCAGCAGCCTAAGCAAAGAAGCCCAGACCTCCCTCTCCCCAACCACCTCCTCCAGCTTATCCGGGGGAACACCAAGGCGTTCCCAGGCCAGCCGAGAGATATAATCGGCTGGCCTTTCAAATATACCTCCATTTAAAAATTGCAAAAACATATGCAACAATAGTTATTGGTACACCTGACTCTTATGACTTTTGGGGACATTTCTAACACAAAAACACTCTGCTTTAACCTAAATGGGGACATTCAATGGGAAACTTTCCTTAGGGAACTGGTTAATACAATAAACTCTGATTATTAAACATCTGCATATGTTAAGGTATGTGTAAATACTTTTCGGATGGATTTCTTTATCTTAGTCCTCATTCTGATTGGTATTTGTTCCTTATTTTTAAATCTTAGACATAGTGAAGGTTTTTTTTTTTTTAACATAACCCTTGCTTGAGTGTGGGGATCATTGATAAATTGTTTACAGACTTCATGGATAGATTTATACTGAAAAAGAACATGATACTATTTTTAGAAAAAAATTCCAAAACATATCCAACTATAGTCATTAGTATGCCATATACTTATGACTTTTTGGGGACGTTTTTAACACAAATACACTCCGCTTTAACCTAAATGGGGACATTCAATGGGAAACTTTCCTTAGGGAACTGGTTAATACAATGAACTCTGATTATTAAACATCTGCATATATTAAGATATGTGTAATGATTTGGGGGATGGATTGCTGTATCTTAGTCCTCATTCTGATTGGTATTTGTTCCATATTTTCAAATCTTAGACATAATGAAGGATTTTACAACATAACCCTTACTTGAGTGTGGGAATCATTGATAAATTGTTCTCCGACTTCATGGGTAGATTTATACAGAAAATAGGGACATGATACCATTTTTTTTTTTAAATCAAAGCATATCCAACTATAGTCATTAGTATGCCATGTGCTTATGACTTTTGAGGACGTTTCTAACACAAATACACTCCTCTTTAACCTAAATGGGGACATTCAATGAGAAACCTTCCTTAGGGAACTGGTAAATACAATGAACTCTGATTATTAAACATATGCATATGTTGAGGTATGTGTAATGATTTGGGGGATGGATTGCTTTATCTTAGTCCTCATTCTGATTGGTATTTGTTCCATATTTTCAAATCTTAGACATAATGAAGGATTCTTAGTTTAGGTTCTCTGGGTGGGGTTTGGTTAGAGTTTTAGTGTTCTGGTTTTCTGTCTGTGTTCCATAGTTGCTGTCTCCCCTGTCTGCTGTATCCCCACATCCAATCAGTGTCTGTGTCTGCCCTGGTCCCACGTCTCTGTTCCCTCTGTTGTAGAGATGGACCGATCCAATATTCAGTATCGGTCCGATATTGACGTAAATTACTGGATCGGATATCGGAGAGAAATTTAAAATTTTTATCCGATCCAGTGAATGTTACAAAAGCACCTCAAAAACTCGCTAACATGGTATAACCCAGGTCATGACCTTAGCACGTCAGAGCAATATGCGTCACGTGATCGAGCGGTTATCGTGTGGGAGAGGCCATCAGAGCCATCATGTCAGCAGTGTGGACTTATTTCAAACTAAAAGACGAAAAAAGCAAGACTGCCGAATGCAATTTATGCGATGCAAGTGTTTCGCGAGGTGGTAGCAGTGTGGGGATTTTTAACACCACAAACATGATTAAACACTTACAGAAACACCACGCAAAGGAGTATGCGGAATTTAGCCTGGCCTCCAAAGCTAAGCAGAAAAGTGTACCATATCAACAAACGCTTTTGGAAAATATTCAGAGACGTGAGAAATTCCCTCCGGAAAGCAATAGAGCGAAGCTGATAACGGAGAAAATGGTTGAATTTGTTGTGCTTGATGACCAGCCCCTTTCCGTTGTGGAAAATGATGGTTTTCGACGCTTAATTGAGCATTTAGAGCCTCGCTACATGCTGCCAAACCGGCATTTCATCTCGGAGGAAGCTATCCCAGGCAAGTACAAACAGGTGCGCAAGTTCATCTCCGAAAGTTTGGAAATAATTCCCACGTTAAGCATGACGACTGATATTTGGAGCTCGGACGTTTGTCCGTTGTCCCTGCTAAGCCTGACTGTACACTGGATAGACTCGAGTTTTACAATGCAAAAAGCAGTGTTGCAGGCCAAAGAGTTTCGTGGTTCACACACAGGAGAGTCCATCGCTGCAGCTATGGAGGAAATGTTAAATGCGTGGAAAATTCCGACGAATAAAGTCCACGTTGTTTTGCGAGACAATGCCAGCAATATAAAAAAGGCAATGAGCCGGCTAGGTGTTGCAAGTTTGGGATGCTTCGCGCACACTTTGCAACTTGTGGTGAATGAGGGACTGCTTGCACAACGTGGTGTATGTGATGCTGTGACAGTGGGCAGAAAAATAGTGGGTCACTTCAAACACTCACCACAGGCATATTCGCGTTTGGAGGACATTCAAATGGAGCTGAACATGTCACCCAAACGTCTGATACAAGATGTGCGAACAAGATGGAATAGCACATATTATATGATCAAGATCCTCACAGAACAGAAGCGAGCCTTGTGTGCATATTCTGCAGAGTATGATCTGCCTGCCACACTTAGTGCACATCAGTGGGGGTTACTGGAAAAGGTCCTGACAGCTCTAGCTCCCTTTGAGGAGTTAACAAAGGAGGTAAGCGCATCATCCTCATCTGCATCTGATGTCATCCCTATTGTCTGCGTCCTTAAGCGCCTGCTCTCCCGAGAAAATGAGGCCGACGATGGAATAAAGAAAATGAAAGGCACTCTTCTCGAAGCGGTTAACAGACGCTTCAGAGACGTGGAATCCGAGCCACTATACACAGTTGCAACACTGCTGGATCCAAGATATAAAGACAGGTATGTAAGGCTTCACTCATGTTATTTTAACAGATCAACTTGTTTTGTGTGTGTCTGTGTGTGTGTAAGTGATAGTGCATTAGAGAGAGTGTGTCAGAAAATGGTGAGGACATTCTAGATTAGTTGTGATAGACTTGTCATTCAGTCAGGACACCACCATTGCGCATTATAACATGTATTGTCTGATTCAGAGTAGTACAGCAAAGTATGTTGAGGTCTTTATAATGGGCATGGAATAAATAGCAAGAATGAGGAATGATAGTTTAATCACACTGCTGAATGATACTAATGATAAATTTAATGATTGTTTAATATTCAAGTTTGGACTTTTTTCATTTCAGGTACTTCACGAGTGTAGAAACCTCAAAACAAGCTAAAGATGCTTTGTTGGCAGAGATGAGGAAGATGGAGTTTTTGAGAACTACATTAAACTCCTCAGAGCCAGCAGAGGGGACATCAGCAGTCTTGGAGCCAGCAAAGAAGACTCCACGGGTGGAATCTTCCAGCCAAAGCAGACTTGAAAGTGTTTTTGATGAAATCCTGAAGAAAAACACTCAAGATCCTGTTCCTCAGTTAGCCACGACAAGTGCACGCATTGAAGTGCAAACTTACCTTAGTGAGCCAACCATTCAACGCTCAGATAATCCACTGCTGTACTGGCAAGTCAACAAACTTAGATTTCCCACTCTGGTTTCTACAGCAGCTAAATTTCTCTGTGCACCTACCACAAGTATTGAGAGTGAGAGACTCTTCAGTACAGCCTCCATTATCATTAATGAAAGGAGAAGCAGGCTGACAGCTGAGAAGGTTGAAATGTTGATCTTTCTGAAGAAGAACCTACCTCTCATGTTAAAGTGAAAAAAAAAGTTACAACTGCATTATTACAAGAATGTTGTTTGCTCTGCTAAAATTGCAAATTTTTTCAGTACCAAAGGGGTTTTGAAATTTGCATAAAGTTGCACTTTTATTTACTTGAATTTTACTTTAAATACTTCAAGATTTAAAATTCTGCATAATGTTGCACTTTTATTTTGATTAATGTTACTTTAAATACTTTGAGATTTAAAGTTCTGCATAATGTTGCACTTTTATTTTGATTAATGTTACTTTATACTTTGAGATTTAAAGTTCTGCATAATGTTGCACTTTTATTTTGATGAATGTTACTTTAAATACTTCGACATTTAAAGTTCTGCATTATGTTGCGCACTTTCAGGATGGATATTTTGATAGTGGTGACAGCTAAACAGTGCTAAAGTTTAAATAAAGAGATATGCATTGTTGAACTGAGCAATATTTTGGGTGCAGTCTTTTTCTTGCATGCAAGTATAAGAGAATAGCTTTAGTGTTCTGTCTTTTTAAATTTGACTTTGAACTTATACAAAAACAGTTTAAAAAATAGATATATCGGATTTATATCAGTATCGGCAGATATCCAAATTTATGATATCGGTATCGGTAATAAAAAAGTGGTATCGTGCCATCCCTACTCTGTTGTAGTGCCTGCATGTGAGTCTGTGTCTTTTGTTCAGTCTGTGTTATGGGTTTCCTGTTTTACTTTGAAAGTCCATGTCTGATGTTAATGTGTCTGGTTTTGCTTCCCCTTGTCTCGTTAGGCCTGATTTGCCCCAGCTGTGTTTCCCTCCTGTTACCCATTCCCTGATTGCTCCTTCTGTGTATTTTAGCTCTGTGTTTCTCTGTGTCTGTGTCGCGATCTACCGTTTATTTTGCTGTGTGTTTTGTCAGTCCAGTGGTGTTATTTTATTTTGAGTTTTTCCAGTTATGTTATGTTTGAGTTCAGCATTAAAGCTGTTTCGGTTTAAGTTTGTCTCTGGAGTCTGCACCTTTGGGTCCTATTCCTGTCCGCATACAGCCGTCACACAACAGAAGACCCTTACTTGAGTGTGGGGATCATTGATAAATTGTTTACAGACTTCATGGGTAGATTTATACTGAAAAAGGGACATGATACTATTTTTAGAAAAAAAAAATCCCGCAACATATCCAACTATAGTCATTAGTATGCCATATGCTTATGACTTTTGGGGAATACACTCCACTTTAACCTAAATGGGGACATTCACAATCCTGCAGCTTATTTGTGTTTCTTTGTTTCAGAATAATAAATAAATAAAACAAATAACATAATATTCCCCTTCATAAAGCTTATTTATTTTTTCCGTTTCATTAGCCTCTCTTAATTAAAAAGATAATCCTCATTGTTAGCTTGCACATGAAAAACTTGAGGATGCTAATAAACATATTTTATTATTTTAGAATCATAAAAGCATAAAAAAATGAAATCCCCTAAAATATTGAAAGTTTGGTTCATTCAAACATCCCTTGATGTTTAATCCAAGACAGCTCTGAATGTGTAACTTATATGTGGCTAGCTTTTTCGGGTTAATTAGCTCAAGTCTTTTTATTCCAAATCATCAAGGGCACATCTAGCAAACCAGTATTAGCAGTTATTACTAAATAACTTTCTTACATTCAAACAGAAAATTCTGAAACTTGTCAGCAGACACTTAAGATATAGGTATAAGAAACTAAAAAAAGTTTTAATCACTCTTCATACTTTTAAAGCTGCTCTACATGCTGCTGCTTGCACACACCTCCATGGCTGCGATCAAGGCCTATGGTGACATAGAGGTCTTACCTCACCTCCCCTACCTTTAGGCTGTCCCTGCTCTGTCCCTCTTCACTCTCACACACACGAACTCCAGACCTGCATTCATCTCTTTCCTCTGATCCCCCCCACCCGACAGACATACAAAACTCTAAACATCGCCCTTTGACTGACTGCCCCACCCCCACTTGCACACGAACTCTTTCCCGAAAGCACTCTGATTGTATGACACTAGTGTTCATTGTATTATGTTGTACATAGGACTTTTGTTTTGTTTTTATCTTTAAGTTGTTCACTGTACACTGTAGACCGTGGGAGCATTACAATTTAAAATTCCTGTGTATCATCTGTACATGTGGGTTTTCAGAATAAAGCTGACTTTGAATTTGACTTGAGTCAAGCTCTGCACATATCTCTAAGGCCCAGTCAACCATGCTACAGGAGCTAATCTTTCCTGCTTGTATCCAGGATATCATTTTTGTCTGTCATGATCCATATGTAATGACCATTGTCTTACACAGTTTTTGATCAGCTCTTAAAGAGACTTTGGTGAGAATTAAGTTTTATGCCATATGCTTGTGACTTTTTATGCTTTTTAGGCAGTATTTTACATACTGCCTAAAAGGTATTAACATTGAAATTTAAATTTAGCTCAGCTGTTTCACCAAATTCTGGATCCCTGCACCATTCAACAGAAATTCAAGAAACATCTTAAATATGTTGCAATACAAGTATCAAGAATTTAGAGTAATTTATGTCAAGCTGCAGTTCAGAAAGCAAATATGAACCTAAAGTGCTCCATTATTTCATGCATCTGCGTCACATCATGCCAAATAACTCTTTAAAAAATATTAAAACTATTTATATCATAATTACGTGAAATATGACTCTTTTGTATTTTCTAGTGTCTTCTTTACCCTTTGAAAATATTATCTACTAAATAGTCTACTGATTTCTGTTATTTAGTCAAGAGAACAAATGTTTGTTTATATAAAACCATTCATACAAAAGAATGTTGAATAAGATTTTCAACAAAGATCAGTAAATTAAAAGAAATCTTACACTATAATAATATAAGGGTTAGGGAGAGGTAATACACACACAAAAAAATCCAAGAAATGTCACTTTTGGGGACAGTGGAAATTCTTGCAATTTCACACACTTCCACTAGGGGAAACATAGAGTTATACGCAGATTGCGAAAATTTTGGGGGGCAATGTCATACACATACACAAAAAATCTAAAAAATTTCACTTTTGGGGACTGGTGAGATTTTTGGATTAAAATACGTTTTAGAGCATGCTGAACGTTGTTAGAGGTAAATCTAATTGGGGACGGTGGTTTTGGTCCCCAAAGGGAGAGGTGTCCTAAATTGACTGGTGTGTGAGCTGATAGAAGTCCCCAATTTTGACACAAGCAAACTCTCACACTCACTCACACTCACTCACACACACACACACACGCACACACACACACGCACACACACACACACACACACACACACAAATGACAACATGCAGTGAATGCGCAACAGTAAGTAAGGATTTTGTAAATACTGGACTAACTCTTGCAAAGAGAGCATGGAAGTTACTCTGAATGACTGTGGTACTGTTTCATTAATATATTAGTGAGTTGACCTATAAAGCAGTGGTTATCTGACCTCTCCCACAGTCGTAACCTTATGGATCACCATCTGCCCATCACACTGCACCATGTGACACCTCTTGTCCACACTATGGCCCTCGAGCTGAAGAGAGAAGTATAGAAGCACATCAAAGGTGCAATATTTCCACTTAATGCATCTGCTGAGCTGAGTCAATGTAAAAAGAAACAGCCCGGAAAGGATTCAGCGACTCACCTTGACATATTCATGGTGATCTTCCTCCAGCACGTCCAGGTCAGTCGTTAGGTAGGCTTAAACAGAGTAAAGGGTATGAAGAGAAATACTAACAACAGGAAACGGCAAAGATCAGTTTGTCCTAGCATCCTCTGCCTGCTGTCACCTGTCACTGCTGTCCCACAGGGGCAGTCATCAATGGCTCCGTGGCTCTGAGCATGAAGCATCATGCATGGCTGCTCTCTCCGGGCAAACTCCACCGTCACACTGAACTCCCCCAGCTCTCTCCCCCCCTCTGATACAGTCACCAGCGAGTCTGCAAACACACACTTCTGCAGCTCGGCAGGCTCTGAGAAGCGAAGGGACACAGAAGGTAAAGCCAAAGTGGACAGATTCAAATATCTGTAATGATTTCACGGTTTTTTGCTTTTCAGGTAGTTTTGGACTCAGCTGTTTCCTACCGACCATATTAGCCTAAATTGGATGCGAACTCACCGATGCCGGACATGAACGTGACAGCTTCGTCAGAGGCTTCCAGCTCCTGTCGCTGTTCAGGTCCTTCAGTCCCTGCTGAAAAACCTACAGCAGTCTGTTCACCCAGCGTGGCTTCCATCTTTAAAACAGCCTGAAAAGTGTGTGGGAGCAACTTCACAGGACACTCGCCTGCCTCGACAGGCAGTCTGTCTGGGTAATTTTATGCAAAGCAGTCTTATCCCACACTTTTACTGCTTAGCATTTTTCTGCTACGGAAGGGAAGCTGACGACCAAATCTCTGTTGGCATGGCAACGACGCTGCAGTACCGTAAAGACCATTGTATGTGTGAATTGTAGGCTGACTATTCACCACCAAATCTAGAGGAAGGAATTATACAAAAATAGAGGCGCTGTACATAAGCTAATAAAAAACAAAACAAAGAACACTGATTACTATTCCTCCTAAAAACCAGCAATTTATTTTTGTGAATTAATTTACTTAAGTCTGAGATCTTTACATCAAGCAAACAATTATGCAATACAATATACAATAGTGAATTCAGATCATAATTCTGATTGCAAAAGCTGTTAGACAGAACAATCTTAAAAACAGTCCTACTGTACTGTCAGGAGGACATCCTGGGCCACATTTGTGGGGGTCAGTCTAGCAGGCAACATGCTTGCTTTTCAAAATGATGGCCATTTCACATGTTATAGCAACAAGGGAGCTTAAGTGGGGTTTTTTTTTTATTATTTAAAAGGGACAGTGCAGTTTAACATATTTCAAGTGCAAGACATGAAACTGATGTACCGCACACAGGTTTATAGCTACTGCTAATTTTCAACAATTGTCCCTTGTTGGGCTTACAATCTAAATAGATACATTTGTAGATATTATGTTTCTGTTGCTAAAAGTCGATTTTTTTTCATTCAATATTCTTGGGGATTCTTATTTTGAATTTAGTAGGACTTCAGAAATGTACAGTAAACCTATCCCACTTAACCTTAAACAAATGTTTGATTCAGTGTCCTTTGTAGTGGACAGCAAGACTCCCACATTTTCAATCTGTGTCCACACTTCAGGAAGCAGAGGGCTGAGTGATGTAGAGTTCTTTTAAATTCTGGATTTCACTCAGTCAGACTTGCATATAGGATGAGGTGGAGGAGTGCAGGGAGGTGAGAGTCAGAGGGCACACCAGCTTCTGAGGAGCCTGAGAAGGAAGCCACTGTCACTTATGGACAAGCGTGTAACCAAAGGTGTTTTTTGGCTCTACCCGTTCTTTCTTTATGGATTCAATTTCAACCCTATTAACACTGGGTTGAAAGACTAACAATAAACATGAAAACAGGGCAACTCTGTCTATAACCACCATGACTGGAGGATCACTGATTACATCAGTGATCAGACAGCCAGGTTCTTGAAAGTGTCAAAGCACACAAACCAAAGGGAGATGCTCATCTCTGCAGGCAGCCCAAACATTTATAAGCTGCATATCATACGTTAATATCTATGACATGACTTGACTCTGGATATATTCAGTACTATTTATAGCAATTTCAATGCATATAGACAGATTGTTTAAGACTGTTACTTTCCAGCACTGACAAGATGACTTCAATGTGTGATCAGACGATAGAAGGCCAGTGCATATGTTTCCTACAGCACTTACGCAATACCTATTAACCATAATAGGCTTCAGCTGTGGTCTCTTTGCTCCAGCACAGACTACTCAAACACTGGGATGTCCTTCTCTGAACTTCACCTTCCTTTTTTAAATCAAGTATTTCCCTTCATCTAACAGTTCAGAGATCCACATGAAAAAAACAAAACAAAATGAGGGACAGAATAAAATAAACAACATTTTTGAAAAAAGGTTTTGCTGGAACATTTTTCTTTCAACCACATATGGTAGCCATGGTAACTTTCAGGATTTGTGGAGGGAGAAATCAAGTCAAACTGTTCTGAAGCAAACTGATGTATTCTGAGAGAATTAAAAAACATTATAACAAGTTAAATGTAACATTTTTATTGTTACTATCAGGAGAGTGTTGTGAGATTTGTTGTTTGAAATAAAAGTAACTTTTTTGATTAAGTAATGTTACTAGGTTTAAGAATGTAAAGGCTCAGTTTAGGAAAAGCACCCGTGAAGCTCTACTGCAGCACATGTAAAAACCTCCCAACACAAATAACACCAGTTGTGTTCCCAGTCTGAGATTTATTCTTTGATATAAAACTGCTACAGTATAAAATGCAACACCTCAATGCGAGATTCAGATTTAGAAAAATAAAAGATTTAAAATGATGGAAAATATAAAGGGAACATTTTAAGAAACATAATAAGTAACTCTGATAAGTAATCATGCATCCCTAGTTGCACAGTAAGATGTGCTGTATTTCCATGATGACTTCAGGTGCACTGAGGTGGCAGCACAAGTTTCTTTCTCAGGGTGACTCTCACTTCAGGCATCTGCTTGGCCAACGAGGAGGTTACTCAATGTGCTACATCATCGTTCACGTAGTGGAGGATGGAGACGATGTCTTCGCCCCTAAGAGCATTTATAGAGATACAAAAACATGTTGATATCACTGTCAGGGTCAGTGTGCACATGTGTTTGGTGATTTTAAAACAATTACCTGGGACAGCGCTCCTTCAGCTGCTCACAAAGAGACTGAACGAACCAGCTTCCATCGACTATATGTCTAAATGAAGCATGATCTTCAACAGTGGCCATGGCAACCAGAACATCAGCTTCCTCAGGGATGGTCAATGGTGAAGTTCTCCATATCGTTCATCTGCACTCCACGCTGTATGTTACTTCCTTGGCAGGCCTGGATCAAGAACACTTTGGGCTTACCGGTGAGGACGGACTGGTCACACCCCTGAACTTTCGGGTAATTTCTTTAATGGGGAGGGGGTTCCTGTCAGTTCCCAAAGCTACACCCCTTTTTCCGTGACTCAGAATAGAGCAGATGAAAGCATCACCGTGCTCAAGGACCTGCTGAGGATCAACAAAGCTACTGCCATCCCACTCTTTAAAGTTGAACTTCTGCAGCTGAGACATGTCTGCCAGGGAAGCAACAAACGTCAGTGCCTGATCCATCTGATCCTTGTTCAGGTCTTCACACATCAGCACTCTGAAGCCCAGACACTTGAACACCTCTGCCAAGCTTTCTGCAAAAAATGTAATTAGAGAAAAATATTTAAGCACCAGATACTAACAAGAAAGAATAAAAAATCTGCCCCTGAAACTTACGGGCGTCTTTATCTGTCCCTCTTCTCTGTGTACCATCCTTGAAGTTCTTATTGTTTATGATCACGCAGAGGCCGACGGGCCGGCTAATGATTTGATAAACATCCTAAAGAGTGGACACCAAGATTTTACATGTGTTACTACAGGATGCGTAACCACAGAATTTCATCTACATATCTGCCTCAAGCGATGTCACAAGTGTAGGAGGCTGGTTCTGCATCAGCATCTTACCTGTGACATATTCCCATCTTGTGGCAGAACATGTGAGGGAAGAACAATAAAACTGAGGTAAACAACCAAACACAGAGTGTTTCTATACAGTGTTACGTGTGTGTGTTACCATGCTGACATGAAGACACTTGGACAGGCTCGGATAAAAGGGGGGTACAACTCAGCTGTAACCTCGCCAGCAGAGGGAAAGTTTCTTTAATGGCGCCATCGGTTTGCAGGAGGTTCAGGAAGTCTTTGCATTTATCTTCTCCTTTATTCATGATCTTATCCACGAGCTCATTGACGTGTGTCTCCGCATTTGCGTTGCTGATGCTTTTAAGATTGTTGTATTCCCGGTGAGTGATCAGCTTATTCTCATAAACTTTGTTGAGAATTAGCCTGTGGTCTCCGGACAGAATCTCATGAATGGCTGTTTTATTGCTCCTTATTGCATTTTGGGCCAACATGCTGAATCTGCGCAAAGGAAAGAGTCAGAGGTGATCCTAAACACTACTGTCTATGAGAACGAAGTGGTTTATTACAGCTTACTATCGTAATAATAGCTGCACATTATATTACATAAAACGAAATTCTCTTACGGTGAAATGTATGGTTGTAGTTGTGTGTCTTATTTTGAAAGAACTATTTACGCGTTACCATAGCGACCAGAGAGCGTTAAGAAGCAGAGAGGAGGATGTCACTGTCATTGTTGTTGGCGCACAGCTCAAGTCACGTTTATTATTATATTTACAATATACCACAGTTTCTTTTTTTTTATTCTTTTGTTGTATTTATCCGCGACACCTTAAAGGTCGTTCCCTGAAAATATTGTCTGACATTAAAGTGGTCTGTGGTGCAAAAAGGTTGGGGACTCCTGCTGTACAGTACAGAATGCGTTTAGCTTGTCGAATTTACATAAATCTTCGATCGCTAGCAGTGTAACTCTGAAGTGCTGTACTGTATGTTTGTAAGTTTTCTCACAAACAAACACTACAATGCCGACGAAACGTTTTGCACCCTCAAATGCACCTTCATGTTTCATTCCATAATACTGGACTTATGTTTCTACGAAGGTTTGAACTCTAAGAGTGTTTAAACAAAAGAGAAAAGTGTGAAAATGTTCATTCCTGTCTGAGAAAAGTGTATAAAGCATGTAGTGAGGGGTTTTACAGTCTTAACATCTATAATAATTGTAAAAAATAAAGTTGGCTACTTCACGGATTTCACCTACCGCGGGTTATTTTTTGAACGTAACACCAGCGATAAACGAGGGGCTGCTGTATTATTAATAGTAGTGTCTGGGACATCTAATTGATTAACATCAACATTGATTATTATGCACTATTATTTTTGTTCAAGGAGAGCAAAAAATATAAAACTCTCTCTCAGCTTGTTTGTTGCCAAAAATGGCTACTTTTTGTGTATGTTCACAAAATGCTATAAAATGTATATTTCTTAAAACATTTATCTACTTTTACCGACGTGACTCTTTAAAATAGCACCAGTCCTTTTCATCAAAATCAAAATTGTATCTAAATTTTCTACTCTTTATAGCCAGTTAGGTTATATATTACCATTAACTTTTCAGATAAAACGGTGATAAAGTCCTAATGTTTTCATGAAACTTCCTTTTTATCCCCATCTGAGCATCGGGGAAAAGGCTGTCTTGCAATTGTT